CCCCCCCCCCCCCCCCCCCCTTTTTTTTTTTGAAGAGCGAGGGTGTCACGGGTTGCTCGCTTGCATGGACAAACGAACCTCGCGCGCATCCCCCTCCGCATCAGACTGCACTGCGCTAGGCTGCTCGCTCGCCGGTACACTCAAGCCAGCCTTATTCGTGAGAGATTGGGTCAAGTCATAACCAAAAAAAAGTAGCACAAAGCAAGAACTGCCAATGAACTGGTGGTGAACCGCCAACTTGATGCGCAGAGAGACTGCAGGTGTTGGACATGGAGACTATATCGGTTTCGCAGTCACTTACGTCATCGGTTGCAACATCCCCCAAGCTTTCGCCGACATCCGACATCAAGGTCAATGGAGCGGTTGCAAGTGGGGTAGCGTCCTCAAGAGGGGTGCTCTGGCACACCGTTGAGGTCTCAGGCTCGGGATTCCCCGGCTGCGGCGCCTCCATGCCGGGGGCTGACGTCTTGACTTCAGCAATTGGTTCTGGGCTTGTTGGCTGTGGACTATCCGGCATTGCTAGTGGTGCATTCTCAGCTATGATGGTCTGGTCCAGCAGATCATCATAAGACTCAGCGTCCAGCACCTGCTCAACCGGCGCAGAGGCGTCCAAGGCTGCCGCTGGGCTGGCTCCTCCAGCAGGCGCATTCATGACAACATCAAGTTTTGCATCGGCTCCAGTCGGTGTTTGAGTGGGCTCCTCCGGTGTCTCCGAAACAAGAGGTGTCGCCTCGTGCTGAACGCTCTGCTCACCCTCGAGGCGCCTCGTGGCCTCTGATGGCACTGCAGATGTGGGTGTTGAATCAGACGAGGCCAAGGTGGCCGGCGCTGCATCGTCACTCTTGGGTGCTTGCATACCCACAGCAGGGTCAGGAGATGGCGGTGCATCAGTTTTGCCCTTCTTCTTCTTCTTCTTCTTTTTCTTGCTGGTATTGCCATCCTGTTTGGTTTTGATGTGGGCCGGTTTTGATTCGGCATCTTCGGCCTGGTCGACAACCTCGGTGACCTTGGACGTCGAGACCTCCGGCACAGAGGCCTCAATTCGTTCCTCCAGAGGTGCAGTAGTGGCTTTGACAGGCTCAGTGGGGCAGTGTGTCTCGGGTTTGCTGGCGGAGACCAGCCGAGCCGAGTCATTCACCTCAGGGCGTGCAACCTCGGGCGAGCCTCGAGTCTCAAGCTCATCTGCCGTGACTGGATCATCGTTCTTCATCTCAGGCTTTGGCTTCAAATCGGGTTTTGGCTTGAGATTGGCCTTGGTGTTTGCTTCGGTGCCGAGGTGCTGGCTCTTGGGCGTCGTAGTGGATTCACTTGTCAAGTCGGCCTCGGCCTCGGCCTGAGGGTCGGTTTGAAACTCGGGGCTGGCAAGCTTGAATGGAGCCTGGGGCTCGACTTGATTACTTTTCTTGGGCTCGGCGACAAGCTCAGGCTCAGGGACGGTCTCAGGGATAGTCTCATGGACGGTCTCAGGAATAGTCTCAGGGACGGTCTCAGTGGCGAGAGGAACAGTCTCAGGAGCAGTCTCTGTGGCAGTCTCAGGAATAGTCTCAGTGGCAGTCTCAGGGACAGGTTCAATGGTAGGTTCAGGGGCAGGTTCGGGCACAGGCTCAATGGCGGGCGCCGTTTCGAGCTGAGACTTGGGCTCAGTCTTTTCAATAGGCTCCACCTTGGAATCAAGCTCAAGCTTGGACGCATGTTCGGTGGAAGGTTCAGTCGCAGGGATAGCCACCAACGCAACTTCGTGTCCAGACTTCGACTCGGGCTGGGGCTCAGCAACCAAGTCGGCTTCAGCTTCAAGCTTCGTCTCAGGCTCGGCATCCATGTTGTTGATGTTCGTTTCAGACTTGTTCTCAAGTTGTGGCACCGCATCGGCCTCAGCTCTGGGCGTAGTCCCTGCACTGTCGCCGGCTTCTGAATTCCCAGCTCCTTGAGCGGACAAGTCTGTCGAGGAAACATCCCCACTCGAAGATGCAGGGATGGCGGCCTGGGCCGTTGCATTCGGCTCCGACTTGCTGCCAACCACTTTGGTCGAAGAGGCATTTTCTTGCGGAGCAGGCTTGGTCTTGCTCTTTTTGGCCTTTGCCTTTTTCACCTTGACAATTTTAAGCACGCCCGCTTCTTCAACCGCAGGTGTGCTAATCGGCGCGTCATCAGATGAGTACTTTCGGCTCGTGGCTTTCGTCTTGAGCACAGCGGGTGTGGTCACGGGGGGCGCACTCGCGGGTGGTACGGTCGCCGAGGGTGCGGGCACATGTTCATGCAAAGCTTCTGCTGTGGGCTGTGGCTCAGCCTTGCTGGGCGTGGGTACCGCAGGTTTGGCTTCGGTGGTAGTGCTATCTTCGTTCTCAGAGCTCGTGGCGCGCTCTTTGAGGGGTCCTGTCGTGCTTGAATTAGGTTCAGCTTGAGAGGCAGCCCTTGAGATGGGTTCATTGTTGAGCGTGGCTGCTTTGTCTGAATCTTTGGCGGCTGCAGGCTGGGGTTCGGCCTTTGCTTCCGCCGGTGTGGCGATCGGCTTTTTGGGGGGCGGAGGCTGGGTAGCAGTATCACTTGCGGTTGGTGGACTGCTTGTATAACCTTGCTGGCGCTGTAAACTTGGTGCCTAAACACGCCATATCCACATGAGACATCTGCACGCTCAAGAGATATTGGAGTAAGCCGGGAAGCAGGCGATACGATGGCACAGACCGCAGCACGCAGCGCTTGCTGAAGAGGAGCGAGGTCTGGTCCAGTCAAAGAGGCATCGAGCTGTATCAGTTCGGTTGGCGAGAGTTGATCAACTCGCTAAGGCCCGGAACAACCATGTTTCAATACCAACATATGAGTGCGTGGACTTTGCGCAGACGGAAAGGAACAAAGGAAAAAAAAAAAAGCACACTGAGAAAGGGTTAGGTTTGCATCCAGAATAGGCAGGCGTACCGCAAAGCATGCCTCCAATTGGCCGATGCGGAGAAGGTGGTGGCAAACGCGTGGCGCCGAGGCGAACACAAGCTGCCACACTCTGCCTGAAGGCTCAATGCCAACTATGAGATCCCGGTAAGCGCTGACAAAAGCCACCTCTGTGTTCATCCAGCATTTCAATAGCCACAATGAGTGAGACATGCGTGGAGCAACCTGGATTTCAGGCTTGTGTAGTGTGACAACACGAGAAGGCAGAAAGTAATGAGTAAGCACAGGTGTAATGAGTAAGCGCAGGTGACGCACCGTTCCAATTGCCGACCCAATGGCAAAGGCGTTGACCCGAGGAGTCGAGAAATAACAGCATGTGTGGCGGCGCGCCCGTCCTGCGCGTTGGCATGAGTGGCCCAAGTCCAACCAAACAGATGAGATGGGTATGCATGGATAGCGGGCCGAGCTTGGAGCCACCGAGTAGCCCTGTGAGGGTTGAGACGGTCTTGGGAATGAAGGTCAACAATAGCTGGCACGGGCATACCAAATGGCCACGGTGGTGGGCGACAGGGCGTAGAGTTTGGAGCATGTTACGGCTTGAGGACCTGGGTTGGGTATCACATTGTAGGCATGGGCGGCCGGCCCGACCTATCGCCAAAGGCGCGACAAGAGGTAAAATGAGGTAGAAGTAGGCGGCCACGGCGGACAACCATCGAGATTGATGAAAAAGCTTGACGACTGGGTTTGTCGTACACCAACCGGAAGGCTGCTGTCCACGGCAAGGTGGTCCTTCAGCTTGATGGTGGCCTGAACGGCGCCATCAGTGCCAGCTTGCCAGAGACGGGACTTTGGGCGCCCAGCCACGATTAAAGATGCCCGTGCAGGGGTGGGGGGTAAGATACAAGCGCCGCAGCCTACGTTGCGCGGTTGGCTCCCCACTGCCACGATGGCCTTGCTGCTCGTGACAAAGGCACCAGGATGTGAGATGGGCAATGTTTTCAAAGAAAAGGCCGGGCAATGCGGCCCGTTGAATCAATGGACGCACGTGTTAAGATTGTATGCTTGGAGGCGCTCACTGTCGGAGACGAGCAACCATTGATCGAGCAGATCCAACTGGTGCACGGGGCGGTTGAGCTTGAGCAGCGTACCGGATCCGACGCGCATGCGATGAACCGAGGCATGATGAATTCGGCCATCCTGCAAAATCAGGGTGGCCCAGATTAGCGCTGTCGAGCTCCAGGCTACTTGGCATGAGGAGCGTGTGGGAAGGTAGTGGAGGACATACGGCATCTCCAGAATAAATGATGGGTTGTTGGCGGTCCCAGAGCAGGGCAGTTAGGGTGGCACCTTTGTGCGCATCGATGCTTCGAAGCCGCTACAAGAGAGGGTGAAAGTTGTGTGAAGCCTGGCACTGAAGACGGGGCGAAAGGGCACAAAGAGCCAGATGCGGCCGAGAATGCTGCCAGTCATGGGAAAGGATTTGGGACAAGCGTCGGTGGCACACCTTGGGCTGAACTTTGAGACTTTGAAAATTGAGCTGCCACAATACCAAAAGGCCCGATCTACATGGTCGGCGCCCCGCAAACAGTGGTGGATCAACCCACGAAGTTTTCCGTGCAGTAGATCAAGGGTGAGCGTGGGGCTGGGTTGAGGCAAGGCGTCAGCTCGGTGGTCACTACGCACTCAAAGCCGATGGCCAAGTGACCGTTGTCCTCGCTGATGGCAATGGCTGATATGGGGCCCTCCTATTGCGGGGTCGGAGAGCATCGCCCGGTGTTGAGGAAGACAAATGGCCCCCTGATCTGGCAAGCGGCAAACGGGAGCAGAAACTCGTCGGGAGTGCAACGCGCGCCTGCTACCTGATTGGCAATTTGCGAAAACTTGTCCGAAGCACGATGGATGCAGTAGGCACTGCCAGTGTTGGTGCCAACGACAACGTATTGAAGCGAGCAGCTCACGCAGGTAAACTGGCAATGTGGCGAAGGATAGGGCACACACACACACACACACACACACACACACACACACACACACACACACACACACACACACACACACACACACACACACACACACACACACACACACACACACACACACACACACACACACACACACACACACACACACACACACACACACACGCGCGCGCGCGCACACACAGACACGAGCACACACGAGCACAGATGAATGACCCGGGGCGTATAAGCAGGAACGTCGCAATGAGGCAGTGTAGAAACCACCACCCACCTTGATACGGCCCCGGGCACCCACGGGCAGAAGACTCTGTAGCTCACTGAGCGCATACAGCTCCTGCACAGCGGGCGCTGCGGCCATGTCCCCTCGTTGCAGTGGCGACGCACCGCCTCCCGCTCAGCCCGATCCTCCGAGTAAATGCGAGAGACAGAGAGTGGAGGGCGATTTCAGCATACGAATGCAGTGACCTGTTTTGAGTTGATTCGTACATTAGCACTGTTGCATTTGGGTGTTGTTAAACACTGTTGTTGATTTGTTGTTGTCTCTCTTTCTCTCTGTCTGTCTGTCTGTCTGTCTCTCTCTCTCTCTCTGTCTCTCTGTCTGTCTCTCTCTCTCTGTCTCTGTCTCTGTCTCTCTCTCTCTCTCTGTCTCTCTCTCTCTGTGTCTCTCTCTCTCTGTCTCTGTCTCTGTCTCTCTGTCTCTCTCTCTCTGTCTCTCTCTCTCTCTGTCTCTCTCTCTCTCTCTCTCTGTCTCTCTCTGTCTCTCTCTCTCTCTCTCTCTCCTCTCTCTCTCTCTCTCTCTCTCTCTCTCTCTCTCTCTCTCTCTCCTCTCTCTCTCTCGCATTTCATTGTCAAAGTGTGTTGGAAGTGGATCGATACGGCAGCGCCATCAAGGTTCGGCTGATCTCAACTCGACGGTGGTGGTTATCGAGGTCAAGGTCCAGCGATACAGAGGTGGGAAGGAGGGGCAGGGTGCGTAGTGTGTATGTGTGTGTGTGTCGGTGTGAGAGCCAGAGGGGGTGGTGTGGAAGAGCTCCTGCCACACACATTGTCAAGACGTGAGCCCGGGGCGGTGGCGATGGCGTTGATATCAAGACTGCATCCGGTCGTTGACTGCTTTGCTGGGCATCAGATTGCTGGGCAATCTGAGCGTTAGCCATGCCTGGTCCCGATCTGCCCCTGGTGCCTTTTCTGTTGTGACGTCAGCCTAGCCGGCTCCTTCACGCGCCGTATTCGTCGCGGCACCACACGCTGATTGGGCAGGTCACCGTGCATTTGCATCTGCAAGCTAGTCTGATAGAGCCGCCTGCCCTGCTGCTGCTCCGTTTGTACCATCAGGCTCTTGTTGTCACCACAACCTTACCGCGGACCACCAGTGCCTGCCCTGATCCCTGATCCACCTTTATCATGGGTCACGCACCAAGCAAGCTCAAGCCCGAGCAGATTGATGCTCTGGCCAAAGAGACAAAGTGTACGTGCAGCCGTCACTCTCTCCACCAAACATCTCGTACACAGCTCCACTTGCCGCCTTGCATTTACCTCCTTCCTAACACCTTTAGTCACCACCGAGGAGATCCAGCAGTGGTTCAAGGCTTTTCGCAAGGATTGCCCCTCGGGCGAACTCAGCCGCAAGGTCTCGTCTGGATTCCCTGGCCCCGCTCCCGCTTCAAAACTGCATGCCTTGGTCTTCACGTCAGCGTGCTGCTTTCCTCACCTGGTTGTCCGACAATCTATTCCAACTTGCTTTTCACGTAGGAGTTCTGCCGCATCTACAGCCAGGTACTGACTGGCGCGCCTTGTGGTGCTTTCCATGCTTCCTGACGTTTGCCTTGTGATTTCCATCTGCATAACACTGTCTTGTTGCAATGGGTCGCTCCTCAATGCTAGTTCTTCCCCGCCGGTAATCCGGAGGAGTTTGCCGAGTACGTCTTTCGCACATTTGACAAGGATGCCAACGGCAAGGTGAACTTCCGCGAGTTTATGTGGTACGTTTTCCTCTGGTTGATGGTGCTCTCGCCCCTGCGTCTTGTTCGGGCTCATGGGCGCCTTGCTGGACTTGCCTCCTGTGCTCTTGCGTAGCGCCATCTCCGTGACGTCACGCGGCACGGTCGAACAGAAGCTCGACTGTAGGTCTCCAGTTCTGTTCAAACCACCTCTTGCTTTTTATTTATTTGTTCATTTATTTCTCTTTCTCTGCTGCCAACTCATGCTTCAATTACTACTTCTTCTTGCCGATGTAGGGGCATTCCACCTGTACGATCAGAACAACGATGGCTTCATCACTCGCGAGGAGATGATTGCCATTGTGCGCTCCATCTACACCATGGTGGCAGACAAGTCCCAGCTGCCCGAGGACGTCAACACACCCGAAAAACGCGTCGAGAAAATTTTCAGCGTCATGGATACGGTATCTCACGGCCTGTCCTGACACGGGCATCTCAACAAACTGCTAGCAGCCGGCCCTCGTGACCATGCCATGCCTTTGCTTGTAGAACCACGATGACCGCTTAACACGTGAAGAGTTTCACGCAGGTGCCAAGAAGGATCCTTCCATCATGGGTGCCTTGAGCATGTGTGCGTCCAACGTCTCATTGTTCGTGCCCGTCCATGTGCAACCCTTGCCCTGACATCTAATGTGGCATCCCCTCTTGTAGACGAAGGTCTGGTGTAGAGTACATTGACCCCATCCATCACTGGGATGCTGGCTTTTCAAGCAGAACTTGATCCAGTCACCCTGCCAGTGCTGCGTATTTGTGTGTGGGGAGGGCATTCCCCCATTCATTGTTTTATTTTGGATCGTCTCCTGCGTCTTGCTATGTCAATATGACCATGAATTGAAATTGAGTGGCTTTCTTGATTGTCCTTTCCTGAAGGGGGGCGTTTTTAATCGCAAGGGACCAGTCAACAATGTCTCGAGAATTCTTTGCCACGCGCAAAAGAAGATAAAAACTGATCATAGTTTTCAATTAGAGATAAACCAAAAGTGATCAACGCCTGAAAAAAAATCAACAAATCCATTACCAAACAATCAGACCCTCAGTCACGCAGCTCTGGGCCGACCACAGTGGCGGAGGTGCATATACAATGACACTGTCATTCACACAGCAACTCAAATGAGCTGGCAGCAACAACAAAAACCGCAATTGAGCTGCAAGCAAAGTGCGAAATAAAAAATGGGGGGCTTCCGGACGTAGCGTCCCGCTAAACCTGTGCAAACTAGAGCAAGGGGGTTGACATGGCGATCATCGACATGATATCGAGCACCCCAGCGCCTAGACGAGCGTTGCAGGAGATGACGCCCGTAACTGGCTCGGCACGCTGCTCGAGACCCAGTTGAACCAGCAACTGGCTCGGCTCCATCACACCTATCAGAATGCATCACCGTGATGTGTGAGAAAAGAGAAAAAAGAGGAAAAACAAAATTAAAATTGTCAAACTTCAGAAAGTGGGCGATAAAATCATCAGCCAGAAATGATTCAGTACACACCGGTTTCCATGTAGCCTTGCTTGTTGAGCGCGACCACGAAGAGCGTATCCGACAAGGCAGGCGTGTGCAAGAGTTCGTATAGCTGCTCACGAGCGGCCGCCACATTCTTTTTGGCCAGGCTATGGTTTGGTTGCGAAGAGCAAGTGATTCGAGGTGAGTCTGGATGGTCCATGGTTGCCAAACAAGTTGATGCCAAACAAGATGAGGAAGATGGTGCGCTCAAACACGAGATCAACAAAGCTTGGCACATTCAACACAGTCACATCCAACGACCTTCAAACAGCAACACAAAGCATAACACACGCCAGAGCAAGGAGAGCAAGGCCTGGTGTACCTGTCCACGACGTAAACGATGCAGTACGGCTTTGGGTTGCAGTAGTCGGGCCAATCCTGGCAGTTACCGCCCACGTCAGAGACGTCAAAGACCACGTCGGGCGACCAGCAGATTTCCAGCTGTCGACGCCCCGTCGTTGGGGCGACTGATGCATTGTGCACGCCCTGTGTGGTCAAAGCGCGAATGATGCTTGTCTTGCCACTTCCACTGAGGCCCAAGAAGACCACGCTCAGGTGCATGGCGGTGGGTGAAGCTGCCGATGTACTCGAGACCACAAAGCGCTCCAATTCATCCTTGGCATCTGAATTAATGTAGTGCGTACAATCGCACACGGTGCATGCTGGCATGGACAATTGCTGCTTCCACAAGTCAGTTTGCCCCAGCTCGGTGGCCTGGAAGACAAATGTACCTTGCACCGAGTCCAAGCGCAGCATCTCGCCCTTCTTCTTGACATACTCGAGCTGGACGCAGTAGGCTGGCACATAAATCGGGCCAATGACCGCTGTTCTCATGCTATCATCCGAGTAAAAGACCAGCATACAGCCCCGCAATACGCCAAAATACTTTTTAAAGCTTTTGTTGGCCTTGCTTTTGCCGCCAAAGGCATCCTTTTCTTGCTTGACGTTCAAGTATCCGGTGACATTGGCAGCAATCGTGGTTTTTTCCAACAAGCTGTGAGCTTGAATCAACGCTTGTGCGGGGCGCTTCTTGTCGACTTTGCGGCCCTTGCAGCTGCTCAGCATGGTCTCCCGGGGGTTGGGGCCCTCCAGCGTAGCTGGGGCAGCCCGGGCTTCGTACACCGTCTCAACAGAGACTGCCAATTCAGGTTCGGCATGCGCTGGCTCTGCAGCTGTGGCAGGCTCGGGGGTGGCAGGCTTGGTTAAATGCGAAGCATCAGTCTGATCCTTGAGCTCTGGCGGTGCAGCAGCTGCCTCTGCGATGGCCGAATCTGTCGTCGTGGGCTTTGAAGTCCGCTGATCGGCCTCACTTCCACTAGGAGCGGCAGCAGGTTCAGTGGCTTCAACGGTAGGTTTGGACTCGATGCTTTCATACGTATTCTCGGCCACGGCATCAGCTGCATCCGGTTCGTCAGCAGGCACGTCCTCCTGGTCGGCAAAGGCCAACGCCTGCTTTAAAAAGTCATCGGCCACATTACCCGTCGTCGTGATGGGTGAGGTGGGTTCCAGCTGCTTACCCTTGCGCTTGCCGCTCCCGTGCATGGGGCTCTGGGTGCCGGGCGTGTTTTTGCGAGTAAGCTGCCACCAGCGCTTCTTTGACGGCGTTTCTGGAATGCCATCTTCGGGATGTGCACCTGTTTCATTGACCTCAGCGTCTGATGCACGGGTGGTGGGCTCGGCGTTGGCCAAGTTGTCATCGGTAGCGAGAGCATCATTAACCACGTCATACGTGGCATCTTCGCTCGTCACGAGCGACTGCGCTACGCGAGATGTGGGATGGCCATAGCTATGTTGCGGCGTCATGCTATCGGAGGCAGCATCCTTGTCATCGACCGTCCCATACAACCCCTGAACAGCGATGACATCTCCCTTGGCCGCCGTGTCAACGTCGCCATAGACATGCTCGTTCTGACCCAGAGGGTCCCTTTCGGTGACATTCTGTTTTTGATCAGCAGCAGAGGGATTGGACGGGTTGGTTTCTTCTGACACATCGTGCGTGTCTGCGGCGCCGTCATTTGCAGCCTCCGTGGCGTCCTCGGCCTCGTCAAGTGGTTGACCATGTTCTTGACCAAGTGCGCTGGCTTCAGCAATCACGGCTGCCAAAGGTAGCATGTTTCCTTCTTCTGAAAAGACGACATTTTCGTAAGCAACTTGTGAGCGACGTTTTGTGTCGCTAGCAGTGCCATCCGTTTCTTCAGACGAAGTCTGGGGTGCGCGCAGAGGTAGCTCAGGGTCACCCATGGTACGCGCTTCCATGAGCTCAGGCTCGGCAAAGTCGTCTTGAAGTTCGGTTGATTCTGAAGTACCGGCGGCAGGCGCCGTGTCCTCCTCGGCGGGTTGCGCACTGAAAGCTGTTGAAGTGGTAGACAGACCCAAAGTCTCATCTTCAACCTTGGCGAGCTCAGCTTGCTCTTCGCCGGCCTGAATCTGGGATTCAACGTCGGCCTGCAAGCCGTCTTGAATGCCAGCCTCGATTTCAACACCGACCTTGTTCTCAATGTTTGCCTCGATTGTGGCATCAATATTGGGTTCCTCGGCATCATTGGCTTGAAGCCAAGCCAAATCCTGGTCGTGGCTTTCATGAGCTTGGTCAAGGTCCTCCTGGTGTCTTTGTTGTTCCAGTTTTTCTTGCTTATTCTGGTCTACCTGGCTCTCGTCCTTGTCCACGGCCGGCGTGCGCAGTTCAGTTGCGTCGGCCACACCGGGTGCCGTTGTTTCGTCGGCGTCAAGATCGGTGGTAAAAGCGTCTGCAAACGGATTGGACGCGGGTCCAGAGGCCGACGAGTCAAGGGGCAAAGTGTGGTCTTCGTCCAGCGAGGCCAACGGCTTTGTCTGGTCTGCAGCTGCCACTGCATGTGGTACAGTATGATCTTCCACGAACGCCGCTGACTCCTCTGCACCGGAATCTACTTGCGTACGAGGCAGCGTATGGTCCGCCTCAAAGGCTGCTACAGCGTCCTCGGATGCTTTATCGCGTGCCAGCCAGGCGTCATCGCCTTCAGTGCTCAGCAGGCTCACATTGGAGGCTGCTGTCGGCAAAGCTTGCGCGGTACCTTCCTTCACAATGTCCTCCGACTCACCCAAAGGCACAGTATGGTCCTCCTTGAGAGCGGTTGCGACAGCGGTATCTTCCGCCTCTGGTGTAGCTGGGGCCTTGTGCTCTGATGGCATTGAAAGATCACCTTCCTCTGCACCATCTTGCTCAGAAGAAGCGAAGGGGTTGTGGCTGTCGGATGCACCTTCTGACGAAGCATCAAGCTCGTGCTTGGTGATGGCACTGCCAAAAGGATTGAAATTAGCGGCATCGGCATCGGCATCGGCATCGGCATCGGCATCGGCATCGGCATCGGCATCGGCATCGGCATCGGCATCGGCATCGGCATCGGCATCGGCATCGGCATCGGCATCGGCATCGGCATCGGCATCGGCATCGGCATCGGCATCGGCTTGCACAAAGCCCCAGCTTTCTTCCTCGGCAGCTTGCACGTTCCTCGGTGTTTGATCAACCTGAGGTTCAATAGCAGCAGCAGCGGCGATATCCTTCGGCTCTGGTTCCTCTTGCTCTGGCTCATCCGCAAGCATGGCCGCTTCCTGCTCCGGCGCATTCACGCGAGAAGTCTCAATTTCCTCTTGCTCTGGTTCCTCCGCAGGGGTAGCCGCTTCCCGCTCTGGCTCATCCAAGGCAGAAGTTTCAATTTGTCCATGCTCTGGTTCATCTGCAAGTGTAGCCCCCTCCTGCTCTGGCTCCTCCACAGGAGTGGCAGCCGTCTGTTCTGGCTCCTCTTCTTCCTCCTCCTCTGGAAGCGTTGCTACCGATGGAACAGCGGGCTTCGAATCTGTTTCATCAGGCAACGAGAGAGCCGAAAGGTCTGCAAGAATGCTGTCGTCATCCTCAATCTGCTCCAGATCAGAGAGGGCGGCCTCTGCCTCGGCAGCCTCACCTGCGTTCTGATGCTCTTTGGGCGACTCGTCTTCATCCAGCGCGAGTTGAAGCTGGATCTCTTCCACACGTGCATCACCCGTAGCAATGTCAAAACTATCTCGCGCCGGTTTGAAGCCGTTGGCGCCGCGCACATTATTGGCTGCTTGCTGGCTAGCATGTAGCACCGCTTGGAGGTCGCTTACTTGCGGCTCAGCCGCTGCGGTGGTCGACTCGACCGCCTCTTCCTTGTCCGCTTCGTCGTCGGTAGCTGCTTCTTCCATCTCCAACTCCACCTCGGGGGCCAGCACATGGGGTTCCTCGCTCACCTTGGCCGGGACTTTCTCCAGGTCATCCTCCTGCTCCAAGGTTTCGTTGGCCAAATCAAAGGCCGAAAGTCGGGGAAAAATGTCTACCGAGGCCTTGGGATATGCCGCATGTGTCTCATCGGCTTCCTCTGGCTCACTATCAGAGCCTGCATCATCCGTTGCGTCACGCACCTCTGCGACAGCAAAGGTTGCCGTGTTAACGGGCTCTACCTCAGCTTGTTCAGCCAAATCCTCTTCAGTCGGCTCGGAAGTGACTGGCAGAGACTGATCGGCCGGAATGGTAGGCTCTGGACTCTTTGGCAAAGGGGACGCAACTTGGTCTTCATCCGCTTCATCCGCGAGCGTCTCATGGGCCGTGTCCTTAGATCCAAGCGCTCCGCTGTGCTCGAGACTCATCTCTGGCTCCCGGCTGGTCTCGCCTGCGGCTTCCTCGTCGTCTTCTTCCTCTTCCTCATCACCGCGTGCTTCATCTTTGTCAACATCAGCTGGCTCAGTTGTTGGCATGTTATCAAGAGAAGCGGGTTGAGCGGCCGGGCCTGAATGTACATTGGCATCAGATTCGGTCATGGGCGACGAATTCAGATTGTGAGGCGGGCAGGTGTCAGCTTCCGTGAGATCGTCGCCACTCTCCAATGCATCGATATCCACGTTTGTCTTTTGCTCTGTGGTTGGAACGATGATGGAATCTCCTTGGTCACCAAGTGCACGGTCGAGCTGTGCCAGTTGAGCACGCATGTCCAGAACATCCTCATCATCATCATCAATATCACCGACGGTCTGTGGCACGATGATGGCGCCAGCTTCATCACCCAGGGCTCTATCCAACTTGGTAAGCTGGGCACGCATGGACATGATCTCCTCGTCCTCTTCTTCCTCCTCTTCTTCGACCCCCTCACTCTCATCTGCCTCATCTCGGAGGTGTGCGTAGTTGTCGTTGGCTCGGCTGATTGCAGCAGCATCAACGCCCGGCTTGGAATCTGAACGCAAGCAGAGGCAAGCAACAGGAGACGTGCTTTAGAAAGTAAGTGCCTCCCTTCCAAAAAGGTCTTTTGGGTGTGGCGTGACACCAAGACACGCACGATACGAAGAAATAGCGGGGTCCCAAACACACACCTTTGAGGACGCGGCCTGTAGCAGGCTTAGTATTTGACTTTTTGGGAGCAGGGACAGGCTTCTTGCCCGGGGAGCGGAGAACGACTTTCGCGCTGGGGCTCTTGGAAGCCTTGCTTGCATCAGCGGATGGGCGCTTGACTGAGGGCAAGCGCGCGGGCTTGTCAATGCTTCGACGGGGCGGGGCGGCTTTGGCGCTGGAGGTCTTCGGCACCGCGACCGAGTTTGTGTGTCGTTTTGGGGTACCCGACGTGGAGTTGGGTTTGGAGCGGGGGCGAACGGCGGCTTGACGCTTGACCGAGTCTCGAGAGGGTGTCGAGGTGCTCTTCGAGCGGGTGGATCCCGGTTTGCGCGTTGTCTTGGACGTGGAGCGAGCTGAAGGACCCGCCGTGGGCACACCACGGGGCGAGTCGTACAGAGTGCGCGTGGAGCCAGTGCGCGAGTTGGCACGGGAAGCATTGGCACTTTTGGCACGGGCAGCAGCCTCGGCAGCCTCGGCTATGCAAGAGAATCGGCATTGAGACGAACATTTGGCAAAAGAGGGTGCGAGGTAACAGAGCGCAGGCGTGCAAGTGCGAAAAGTGGGCACATGTACCTTGTCTCTGCTTGGCGAGCGAGGCCATGCTCTGAAGAAAATAGAAGCGGACAGGAAGAGAAGGAAAAAAAGTACAGAATGCGACCAGAGCATGCGTGAGGGCCTGACTAGTCCGGCAGTCAAGTTTCGAGGCATTGGGTCAAAAAGGGATAGGAAAAAAGTACCAGGTCGTAGGGGGTAGGCTGGGTTTGGTGGCGCGGGGTATAGCGGGCCAGTGTGGCGGCATCGAGGCGGGAAATCATGGGGGTGAGGTGGAGCACGCGACGGGCGGCATGGTGGGTGACGACGGGGCGTCCAAGCCGCATGACGGCGTTGAGGTAGGAGTTGAGAGATCCCACGCGTTGAGGCAGCGATGAAGCAAGCGCAGCATGGGCCATCTGGGAGCGATTCGACGCAGAAGGGCGGGTGAGCGCGAGAAGAGGGGCGGGGAGAGAAGCGTTTGATGTTAGCGGGGGCAAGAGGTGGGCTCAAGCGCAAGAGGTGGCACAAGTCCAAAAAAAAAAAAAAAAAAAAAAAAAGTCTTTCATACCTGGTCGGCTGGGTAAGCGGGGAGAGGCACGTTTCGCATAAGAGGGTCGAGCTCCATTTCGGTCACGATGCTTTGTAACTCGTGGGCGGTCAGGATGGAGGTGATGCGTTCAAAGCGGGTGCCGTCCCAAAACATGGCATAGCACTTGTAGATGGCATAGCCATCAAGCTGGCGTCCTGAGGCGACTCGGCCGGCAAAGCCCTCGTGATCGAGGTCTGGCGGTGGTTTTGAGCTGATTTTTCGGCTCGGAATGTGCACCTTGGCGCAAGCCTCGAAAACCTCAAGCCAGCGGGTGGGGTTGGGGGCCCGAATGACGATGAAGAGAGTATTTTGGAGAGGGACCTTGAGAACGATACAGGCGTTGAGGTCGGTGTCGGCAGGCCAACGGGGGAGCGTGTCAAGATCTTCACCCGATCCAGCATGGCCAATGGTACAGGTGGTACCAATGAGATCGTATATTAATAAAGGCTGCTCTAGCAGGCTGGGGTTACTGGCTGTATCCCCGGCATGGACGGTCAGAATGCCTTGATCCAGCACCAAAAACTTGCTTTGCCAATGTTGCTATCACAGGCCAAGTAAAAGTTGAAATAAGAACATGTGGCATGTGGGACAACACGAGGGAGGGGGGAGGGAGGGAGGGAGCGGGGAGTGCCCCAGCAGATCAGACTGAACATTTGCGCACGACTGCCATCCGCACAACACGGACAAAAAGCAGAGATGGAAATCACACACTCACACGCGCGCACACACACACACACACACACACACACATACACACGAAAAAAAAAAAAAAAAAAAAGCGGATGGAAGCAGCGCGGGAGGGTATGCAAGTGCAGGATCATGCGGCATCTCATGTTGATGAGACGGCAGCAGGAGCCGGTGGAGGAGCAGGATTTGCACCTCAATGCCTGAGCGGGTTGGATGTGGCAACGGCAAGACCCGTGGCAGAGCGAATGCATGGGCCAGGGACCACACACGGTGGGGCGCAGCAGCTCAAGAGCAGCGAGGGCGCCTCCCCACGTTGGATTCCCACTCCCAAATCAACTGCAACGACCAAACCACCACAACAACCGCCATGCCCGCCTCCCGACAACAACCACCCACTGCCTTGCTTACCTTGTTATCCAGCCGAATGATGGCCGGACCCCGCAAAGGCCGAGCCCAGACCTCCCGCATCCTGCCGGTGCTACCCGCCGCTCTCGCGATGATGGAGAAATGAGAGCGCAGAGCAGAGCAGAGAGAGAGCGGAGTGAGAGAGAGAGAGAGAGAGAGAGAGATGGATGTGGAGAGAGAGAGCAACAGAGAGACAGAAGGCCAGAGAGAGAGAGAGCAAAGAGAGAGAGAGAAGCAGAGAGCAGCGGGCACACACAGAATTTTTTTCTTTTCAATTTGTCAGAGGGCCAACGGTGGTGATTTACAGATGGTAGTGAATGTCATCAAACAGACAACAGCTTCTTGTCAGACATAAAATGTCGGTACCACTGACAATATAACGTGTGATATTTGTCATACTTCAAGTTGTACCCAACACGTTCATGTAACGTGATAAAAGTATTTTGTCTGACGTCCAGTTCATCCCTGTGTGCGAGAGAGAAACACAGCGAGAGAGAGAACAAAAGAACACGCCCCCTTCTCTCTCTCTCTCTTCTCTGCTCTCTGCTCTCTGCTCTCTCTGCTCTCTCTCTCTCTCTCTCTCTCTCTCTCTCTCTCTCTCTCTCTCTCTCTCTCTCTCTCTCTCTCTCTCTCTCTCTCT